CCCCAAAACCCCAAAACCCCAAAACCCCAAAACCCCAAAACCCCAGGGAGGATAGAGATTATTGGAATTAACTGAGAGTGCTTAGAATGGAGAAACATTACCTCACATTTCTAACCTTACTTCCTTTCCTTCACTCCTTCCTTCCCTTTCCTTCACCCCTGTTCATCCCTCTCTTCGAATACTTCCTCACTGGGTACCCCAAAGTCTTATGTGGATGCAGCTTATTAAAATTTGTTCCTGTAGCACACAAAATCTGAACATTTCCTTTATGAGAACCATCATTATTTATACAACATTCCTTGTTTTTGTTAAGAGTATTGTTGTAGAGAGTGGTAGTTTTAGTGGCTTCACAAGGAGAAATTTCAAAGATTATTTCAGATTTTGAGGTTTTAGAAGCTTTTGAAGAGTTTTTAGGTGTGGATATTTTGGTTTTAGTAGTTACTGGGTCTTTGTAAGTTTGCTCGGCTGAGGTCTAAAGTATTATTTTTATCACTTACCATATTCTTGGACTCGGTCTGAGTATGGTATTCCTTTTCAATAGCTAAATCTGACATTGGGACCTTACTAGAATAATCTTGGATTAAGACTTCATTCTTTGGTGCGTTCTTGTTCTGTAAGCTAAACCTGTCCTTTCTCAAATTTAGAACTTTGTATAATGGCTTTGGATCATTTTGGGACTAGATTTAGCAACAAATATTTACTTTTGGCTCAATTCCGAAGGACGGAGTTGATGTATTTCGGTGGATCTCAGCCGTTGTAGCCAAGTCTTGGATATAGCACTGATGGCTTTGGTAATTAGCAGAGCCCCGCTGGGCTTTTGGAAGTCGTGTGGTAGATCTTACACTGCCAAAATAGGAATTTCGCTTCAAAAGCTTCATTACATCCGATTTGCTAGATCTTTATTTAGATATCTTACCTTCTTGATTTTCTATTATAAGGATGTCAGAGAAATTGGTTTTGAATACTCTTCTGCATATGGTCAAGTTTCTGGTTCAGCTTCTTACTGTTTGCTCTTAACTTGCTCTGCCTTTTGCTCAACGACCTTTTGGTCTTTTTAAATTCTACAGTCATTCGATCAGGCTGTTTCTTTCTCTTAGCTTTGCGCCCAATAGCTCCTTTATGAGTTTGGCATCTTTTTAGCATCCGATTTTGTGGTTTTGGAGGTAAGAAATTCTTGTTAAGATTAGCCAAATTCTGAATATTTTCCTTATCTTGTTCCTTAAATGCATTAAAGAGCTCCTGAGATTGTCTCCCGTTGCTAAAAGCAAGAGCATTTGTGAAGATAAGTCTCTTAACTGTGCCATCTTCCTTCGTAAAGTAAACTATGTTTAGATGATAAAATACTATTTTTATCCTGCTTGTCTGAGTCATCTGTCATATCTATTTTGAGGGTGAAGACCCCTCTGAGGTTCCCTGGGTCATATTTTTCTGCACTTTGTTGAACACTCTTGAGATCTAGGCATATTAATAGCTGGACTTACCTTGATTTAGTGCTTCTTCTAGTTCAGTGTCAGGCTTAATTTCATTTTGAGCAAACCTTTCAACGTTAAGCCATTCATTTGTTCTCTCTTGAAGCGGTGAAATTATTTCTAGAGTTAAGGAGATATGTTACTGATAGATTCTTCCTTCTTGCTGATTGCTTGATTTAAAGTGTTAAATGGAATAGTTGTATAATTCCCATCTAGTTTTGAGAAAGAATCCGGCTCTTTATCTTGATATTCCTGAGTATGAAATACAAAAGATCCTTCCGAACTAGTCTCAAGCTCATCAGGTATCGGCGCACAACTAGATGTATCCAAACACGAAGGCTCAAAGCTAACTATAGAATCCCCTTGTGGGTCACTCATTTTGAATTTTAAATATTTTAAAACCCCCAATACCACATAAAATTTCTGGGGTTTTGGGGTTTTGGGGTTTTGGGGTTTTGGGG